AATTATTTTCTGACTGATAGTTCAAATTCTCCAATTTATAAACTGGATGCAAAACAAGCACTCTTGCAAACTAAGACCCAGATTTTAAACCTTACTATGATATTGAGAAAGAATAGGCATTTCCCTGTGGTCATATTTCAAATTATATTTGTATGCACTACTGAAGTGAGCAAAGATTTAAATTCCATTTTTTAATCAAATCTACAGTTTTACTAATTGAAGTAGGGACAACATATATTTAATAATCCTTGCATACAATCCACATTAAATTGAGATATATGCATACATAATGAAGATCAGAAAGTGGCCCTTTGTTTAAAAAGCAGCTGTGTGACCCAAGATGATGTCTCCTAATTAATATTCTTCCCACCTTTGGGCCAAAACATCTGTGAGGGTGGGCTCATGGAGAGGATCTGCACAGATACTGGTGAAAAATAGGAGATGGTGGAGAAGCATCATTCTCCCTTCTTCGAAGCCAGCAGAAGACCCTCTGCATGTTTGGAGGCATGAAAAAGAGAACCTTTCTGTTCACCAGGGTTTTGCCTGTACAAGATAATGCTAACAGGGTAAACATTATGTTGCAAAGAATCCTCTTTTACGATGTGAATTCTCTACATGTGTGTTTTGAGCCAATTACAGGTGAGGCTTCCTATCAGGAAGAAATGGTGCCATGAGGGACAGCAGGCCTCCTTCTAATCCCCCACTCCTGGCAGATGTTTTGGGTAGCTTACATTTATGGGTGCTTGGGAGTGCTGTGCTACTCTCTCTGTGCTAACAGCCTGGAGATCACACCCCCAGCCCAATTTACCAAGGGTCAACTTTGCCCCAGGAGGTTACCAGCACAAGTTCCAAGTCATAACCTGGGATTTCCCAGTCCTACTGCAAATTTCCTCCACATAGGGGATAATTTAACCCATTTTAGATATATTATGAAGTATTAAATGCAAGCTCTATGCATTTTTTAAAATAGAAAATAAAGCCAATTAAATAAAGCTGCAAAGACCATAAAATGCTGATTATAACACCATTTTCACAGAAAATCTCTTTAAATTAATGTTAATTGTCACTATTTAGACCCAGTCGTTTCCCCCTAAGCAAAACCATCTTTAATACAAAAGGGGGGTTGGTGTGAGTGGCAGGCTGAAGTAATAAGACTTTGTTTTGAAGATTTTAAAACAAAGCATTTACTACCATAAAGAAATAAGGGCAAACTCAAAGGTTAAAGCATTAATGCAATGGTGTAAATATTTTTACATATGACTAAATGTTCAATTGCATTTCACAGAAAAGCTGAGTTTCTTATTTTTTAAAAATAGTGTACCTGACAGAATAAGACATTCCCCTCCTACAATACTTTAGTTGGGAAATAATTTTCTCATTAAATATTGCCATAAAAACATTAGAGAAATACACCAGACTGGGGTTCCCCCCAGAGAATATGTAAGTTATTCAGATTTTTCACTTCAGAAAATGCTTGCAGTGAATACCCAACTATTATTTCAAATAAGCTCAGAAATTAGCATGTTTGGTAATAGAGGATTACTCAGACATTAAATAGACCAGTCAATCAGCAACCACATCTCCGAACATACTGCTTCCCCTCCAAATTATTATCTGAACACTTGACAAGATAGCCAATTCAAAACAAGGCAGATTAAAAAAATATTATTAGTGCAGTACAGTGAACAGTTAAGTAAGTGAACTCTGATTATAGAAAACCTCAAATGCAGTTTTAATTTATTGATTTGGAGGCACTTCTACCAAACTTTTTGTTTAAAAAAAAATACAAGATGAGGTAATCCCCCCCATCCACATCTAGACATATGTTTTTGGGTCAAAGAACAGATATTTAAATATCAATTAGTTTTAATTATTATTGCTAAAGATGATCTGCATGTAGTTTGTTGCTTCTTAAAAATTAAGTCTCATGAAAACAATGTTTATTCACAGGCGAGGAAAAATTAAGTGGACCAGTCTCAAATCCTTATTACACAGATGTCTTACTAAATGACTGGCAGAATAAAAGTGAAATGCTTATTTAAATCTGATAACATTTTAATGTAGGCTTTTGTATGTTAAGGCTGGATTTAGTTTAAATCAACAAAAGCCAGGAAATGCAATTATGAAGGATTCCAAAATTTTAAACTGCCTTGCCTAAGATATCAGAGTTTCAAACAATGGGTGATTTTACATGTGTTGTAATAACTAGGCACAAGTTAAATAATTTTCATGAAGTAGATATGCAGCTATCCATTTCAATTGACTTAGAAAAGCAAGAGAAGACTATAAAGAACACATAGGAAAATTGACACAGTAATCTGCAACAGCTCTTTTAGAGAGTTATGATCTATTATATGAGCATGTGTTGTCAGCTCTCAAAACTATTATTTAGCCAACATGTCTGTATAGTTTTGTGTACACACCTAGAGTAGGAATAATAAAAATGGTCACAAAATGTTACACATATGTAGGTTTGTAAAAAAGTAAATCTTGTGCATTTTTATCCCTTTCACCTTCAATTACTATTGGATAATTAAGACTAATTTAAAAAGTTATGTTTAAATGTTTAAATGCCCACACCAATTCTTTTTAAGGGCACCTCATTGCAGTCCTTATTCAGGCAAAACTCACAATTGTAGTCAACAGGAGTTTTGCCTAAGTAAGGATTGCAGCAGTCAAACTTAAGTGTGAGAAAAAACACACCTTCCATCCCTCTAGACAGTCACTATACTCTCTTTTGGGCTGTGAATTATATAGACCAAGTTTCAGTATGGAAAATTTCTAGAACAAATCAAGAGCTGAAAAGTGGATTTTATAATGAAAATTGACAACTTTATTTAAAGTAGCAGCCCTGTGTGATATTTGAGCTTGTAAGTTAGTAAGTCTTCTGAGTAAGTGTGTTGGTACATATTTTAATTCCTCATTTTGAGGCAACTCCCCCAAAATATTACTATATTTCAAAACTATCCATTTAAGGAAATCAAGTATTTCGAACAAATATTAAAAAACAAAGGATTGCAACTATTAAGGCCATGATCCTGCAAATTTTTACTCATGGCAGCCTTTAGCACTATTTGTGTGTCTAAGAGTTTGCAGTATTAGGCCCTAAATTTACAATAATCCTTTAGATTCCTGGTTAAAATCTAGACAGTATATTTCCCTTCAAAATATTACATTAGAAATACCCTCAACGTTAGTCAGACTGAGGAATACCTTATCAAATTTTCACCTTTTAAATTTGTAACAAGGGAATTTTAGATAGATTTGCCTACCGATATAATTCTGATTTTCATTAACAGGATTGCAATAGCTTTTGCACAGAAAAATATGAGCACAAACAAAATTATTAAAATGAATGCAAAGTCCTTATATTCTTAGAGAACTGGAAACTCAAATTATTCATAACTGAACAGTACCCACTGAATCAAGAACAGAGGTTCTGAATAGCTTCTAAAGTTTAAAAACTTTGCATGTTATGCAAATTATCCCAAACAGGAGTATTAATAATAATCCCAATAAAATAGTAATTTTGGGGGGTTTGTTTTATTCTAATAGAGATTTAAAAAAATTCACTACCTATTTACAATAAAATAAACAAGGTGGTGGGTTTATCAAAATATAAAGTTATGCTCTAGTCCAAATTTATTTACATTTTATATTTTGTGTGTATTCAAGGTTTTGGTTTTCAAATGTTAGTTTTATGTAGAAGGCTTTCAGTACCTACAAAATGGTCATACTATATCGAATATTTCCCACACATTCTTTAAGAAAAAAATATTTCCTAAAATATTGTTACAATAAAAGGTGTATTATTGCTGACCACTTGCAATCCTTCAACCAGATTTGAAATTAGCTACCGAATTAAGGCTAGATATATTTTACACATCTATGGATTTGCTGGAGCTTTTTCAGGTACAGTCAGCAATTGTATGGGCTTATTGCAGCTTTTAAAAGAAAAGTTTGTATCTTACATTTTGGTACAATTATTTTCTGCAAAGATATATACATTTTAAAAGGCAGTAAGATTTGATTAAGGCTAAAAGCTCTATACCAGCTGAATACTCAAATTGCTAATGTCACACACAATATGTTCATAAAATTAGTTTTTGCCACAATGCATTTTATGACAGAGATAAAGTCTTTAAATTTCTAGTTCTCTGTTTAGTGTTTAAACATAAATTTGTTTGGTCTTAGTGCAATTACTTTTTAAATTTCAGTTGTTTATTTTAATGGTTAGCTGAGATTATTCATATACAAGTAGAGAGGTCTTGATTACTTTGAGTGGATTTCTCAGTTTCAACCAAATTACCACTTAGTGCAAAGCAAGACTTGCAAGATGAGTACTGTATATTCTATGTTTATTATTGTTAAATAATTCATTGTTTTACTGTATAATACTTAAATATTTATTGATAGGCTCCAAGATAAATTAAAATTTCTGATAACTCTTTATATAGGTGGGGTTTGAAAACAAATTTTGCAAATTCTATACTGCTTTAATTGTGAAGAGGCTAGTTATTAATAACTTTAAAAAATTATTTTGTACAGTACATTTAAATGCACTCAGCTAGTTCTCCATTCTTCTTTCACACACACTATTGACAACAGAATAAAATTACTTAAAAATAACTATTGTATCATCCATTACTATTATTATTTTGCATTAGCAGTAGTAATTCCCAATACAAGAATATGAGAACAACACTATATGGAGAATTTATGTAACTCCAATAAGCAAGACAGTTGCAAGCTCAGCTTTTTGTACATATTTTGGCCACTTAACACACTGACTGTCTTCAGAGGGAAATGGAGACTGTTTTTTTATTTAGTCTTAAAACTTAACAGAGCGAATGTGAAGAAGAATAACTTCAGCAAACAGAAAATCTTTAATCCAGTATAAAACAGTCTCACTATGCATAAACCAAAGAAGTCCTATTACTACATGCATTTTTAAAAATAAAGAGCATCTGAAATATGTGAAATGTTAATATGATATATACCATTCTCATGCTCCATCAGCTTCCCAGAGAGAATTTTTCAATCACAGAAGTAAGTTGTTCTCCAGAATCAGCTCTCTATTGAAAGGTCAAAACCTGCAATAAAAATGTCATGTATTATAACATATTTCCGACACCCACAGTTTCATGGTTGATCCCCAAACATAGATGTAGGTCACCAAGTTGACCCTCACTTTGTCTATGTTAAGGAAAACCCTAATTTTAAAAACACACACACACACAAAAAACCCAAACTGACTTGATTAGAAACACCTGTGATATGCTTCTTTATTATCAGTAGCCTCCTGAAACAAATCAGATTAGTATGTTTCTGCTTTCATTCTCCCTATAATGTATTCTTGTGGGAAGTAAGGGGGAGAAAGAGTGGGAGGGGAGAAAAAGAATTAAACAGTTAACTATAAACATTTAACAATTAACGTGTGCGCTGTGATACTTCCTGAAATCCGCTACTGACTTTTATCAAGAAGTGTTTAGCATGTAGTGCTTTCTTTAAAACAGTTTTTAGCCCACTTTTTTCAAGACATCAGCAGTACAATCAACATTTTTAACAAGGAGGAATTGTATAAACACAATAAATTACTCTATAGCATCTAATGGAATTGTATAGTATTGCAGTCACACACATTTTAAAGGTGGGGAGAGGGGGAAATGTGACCATGGAATTTATTGGATAAAAACAAGGCAAAAACCTGATAAAGATGGTCACTTCAAATATTTACAGGAAAAAACTGTGAATTAATATAGCCAAATGCTCAGATTTATTTAGCTTTTGTACTATAGGTGCTATGACAAGAAACATCCTAACTAAGTCTAATAAATAAGCAGCAGATGATTAGATCTGGTCACCTGTTTACAAATATTTTCAATATATTTGCTCTTTACTCCTTAACTGTATTTTCAAGTTTTATTAAAGACAACGATAGTATTTTGAATAAGGTTAACTTGCTTATATTGTAAAAATGCATTTTTCTTTACCTTTATTCCTCTTCCCCAATACATCTTCACTACTCCCACCCTTTTAAGCACAAATAATTTGGAAAAAATATCCAGCCAAAAAAATATTTCTTTTGTTGATTTTTTTTCTAAAAAAAATTATAGTAATATAATCATTTACTATGTTAAATGTTAAGTTTGAAGCTAAACATATTCCTATTATCACAAAAGAAATTTAAAATCACGATCAAGATATTTTTCTATGTCCAAATCTTAACCCAATTGGACATTTCTTACTAGATAAACAAATTAGTGGATTTTTGACTCAATTCTCAAAGTTAATAATAATCTATATTTACAATGGGTACACTTACCAGCCTTTAGAAACTAAATAGCTAAAAATATATATATTTTTGCCACTTTCAGTAGTGGTTTCCTTTAGACATTAATAAAGACCACAGAGAGTCATTGCTATTTTTTTCAGTTTCAAGTAAAATGGAGATTATATCTTGATTTTGAATAAGTCTTCTTTGGAAACGCTTTAGTATTTAGTAAAAGCTATATATTTTTATTTATACACCATTTGTGTGTATACACAATAATAAATGGGGACATACTTGTACTCTAGTTATTCTGAACTGCTAAAATTTTAAAAACTGTTCAGAATTAAAGAAAGATTTTAAAGTCTATTATTACTTTCCACAAGTAGAAACTAGCTTTTAAAGGTACAACTACAGTGAACTCCAATTAGACACAAATATTAGTCAATTAAAAATAGTCAAAGTTACAACATAACTGAATTAGAAGTGAAGTTACATTATCCACCTCCAATCTTCATGCAAGACTGATGGAAGTTGTCATACAAAAATAAATGAAGTTGAGAACTAAATTATTTCTCAGAATTATAGACTCATCAAATCTCTAAGGTATAGACCTACCCAAATGTTTCTTTTAGCAGAATTACACTTAAAAAAAAATTACAATAAAGGGTTAAACAAATCAATACAGGCATTGATTTAAGTTATATTAAACAAAGACAGAAGGTTTAAACTAAGCCAATTCTTACCATTTCAGAAATATAGTGTACCACACAAAATTATGAAAATATTTTCATGATAATATAGAGTTAAAAAAAAAAAGAAGTTCAAGTTTGATAGGTACTAAGACAGTGACTACTCAGCAATTCTATAGAGCAAGTGCCAATAATTCACAAAATAAATAAAACTGCAAACCGACTTTTTCATTTAGGTTTAAATTTAGACAACTTTCATATCCCTGTTTTTTGTCTCACCTTTCCCTCAATATTTGTAGATACTTACTATTATTTCTATCTTAAAAAAAAAATGCATTACTAGTTGAGTCAAAAATTAAATAACTTACTTCTAAACTAAAGTAGTGTGTAAAGAGTCAAAGAAATGTAATATACTATGTATAAAAATAAAGTGATTTTGTACAGCTTGGTCCAAACAAAAAATTAATATTATTAATAGGAAAGGTAGTATTTTTTTCTGACCACCGGTTCTAGCGCAAGATTATTATTATTAGCTATTTAGAATTTGCAAATAGATGCATAGAGAATATATCCAAAATATATGTATATACTTTAAAAAAAAGCGATTTTCTGTTTTTTAAAAATTTTACTATCAAATATTCATTTCCATTCGGACAGAAAAGCCTGAATTTTATTCCTTATAGCTTCCACTGATAGCCAAAAAAGTCTAAGATGCTCTACCTTTGACAATTTGTGATGAAATGAGTAATGAATGTAATTACTGAAATGATTAGTAATTGGCTTTGGAAAATCCCCCTGTATCTAAGAAAGCAAATACCTCCAGCATATGCAGAGACTATAATTTTAAGTTTCCCAGTTCCTTTTAAATATAGTTTAATATTTCCTATCTCAAATATTAAAAAATAATAAGTTGTTACAAAAACAGACCGTTACATTACTATTCTGTACATAAAAATAGGAAGTGATATTAAACACTCCAGATTTTTTTTTGATACACCTGTTAGAACAGCCTTATGACATCCAATATGGGTAACATAAATTTTCCCTGAGGAGTGTACCTATAGGCAGGTAGCATGTATGCAGTTCAAGCAATATATAACTACAAATTCTAATGTATCCTAATACAGAAAGTAACAATTAACTTAAGGAAATTAAAACTATTAAGTTTAGAAATAAGTTTTCCTCTATAGCTTTGTATTTCACATGGAACAGTAAGAAGTCTCGAGTCTATTAAGCTTAAAAAAAAAAAAAAAAGAAAGAAAACCCCAAAGAGGACAGATGGTATATTCTAACTTTAATATATAGCTAACTAAAATATTCTATCTTAAAATGTTGCTACAATAGATTTCCAATACAATACAAAAATATCAGTAAAAGCTACCCACGTAATTCCAAATTACTAGGAAATAGTCCTTTTTATTTATTAAAAGAAGTTTCTTCGATCTCCAGTACATTTACACTTGCAAAAAACAAACAAACAAACAACAAAAACACCCTGTAACTCTTGGGAAGTTTCAGTGCAACTTTAGCTTTTAACAGGACAACTGTAGCATATTTGAAAAGTTTTTCTGAGAGCCAAAATAACTGAACAGGCTTAATAGAAACAAATTTATGAAGAGGATACTGATTATGTTTCATGACAAAATTATAAGCAATAATCTGATCACAAATGCATAATTATAACCTTCATTTATGGGTCTAGTGTAAATACATGTTTATTACAACTACAAATATATTTAGAGGAAATATCAAATTAATCTTTTCTAAGGCCAAGTAAACCTCAGTTAATGTTTGACATTTTAACGAAGGTGAAAAATGCAAGCAGTCCTATAAGGTTCAATTTAAACTAAGTGAATTTCTCAAATACATTAAATGAGTAAATCAAGTATCAGGAAACCTATATAAATTACATAAATGCGCACTGTATAATGATATCAGATTGCTTGCTGCTTTCTTTTTAGCCACACCCACTTTTATATCATTATAAAAAATGGAAATAGTAAAGTTCTGAAATAAAAATGGAGCTAAAAAGAAATCACTGTTTGATGTAGTTAAATATCGAATAAGTACAAATATTTTAATTATAGAAGACTATAACAAAGCATATGTATGCTATGTACTTGAATGTCAGAGAATGAAATAAAGCATACGCACCTGTACAATACTTACCTGTTCTGTTTTATAAATTAACTATGAGTCAGGACAGTTATTTCCTTGAAAGTGAAAGTCAGTGTTTATAAGTTTACTTCCATTGCTGAATAGTGTAAATCTGTTCAAATACTGATATTTTAAAAAGTATACACTCAGCTACAAAGAAACAGTTTTGTGCACATTCCCGCATAAAGTATTAAAAATGTTTCTTAAAACAGTTAAGTAGTAATCGTGTACCTCCAAAGAAATAAATGATAAAATGTCATAAGGTATTATTAGCATCACAATTTAACAGATTAAACTTAAATTTCTAGCTATGAGGATTTAATGATAAACTAGAGACAAACTAAGAGTAACTGTAGCTGAATAGATAGACTAATAGTCTGATTTGTATACTGGATTTAAAAACTGAGAAAACCCCAGGGTTCACAATAAGAATGTGTTCTTAAACTATTGTATTTCTGCCTTACACAGAAAATACCTTGAATCCAGCTAACATGCTAAGTTTTGTATTTCACTTTAAGGCTACAAGCCTTCAGCCATGTACATAGAAATCCTTTGTACAGCACTTCTGCACCCCAACTCTTCTGTACGTCCCTCCTCCTACGTTACTCTATTAACTCATTATTTTCGGTGCAGAGGGTGCTAAGTAAAACGCACATACTCTTGGCATTAACCAGAGTGGATAGATGCGCGCGCGGGGGGTTGAGGGGGGGGGGTGCAGAGCGAGAGAAGCGGAGAAATCCTATGACCCAGTCCAACCTTCAAGCCCCAGTAATGCGTTCATGCAGCCAATCAGGGGGACCATATACTCGGTCCAGTATTTTCTGAAGTGGCACATAAATGAGGGCCCGATCCTGAATTCACTGCGCACCCAACGCTCCCAGGGATTCAATGGGGGTTCTCGGTGCTCAAGTAAAGTAGACTAATGCCCTGAGATCTAGCAGGATTCGGGGAAATATTCATACGTTTTCTGCATCTGAGAAAGGTTCTGGCGGCCGAAAGCGAATAGGGAAGTAGGCAGAGGAATAAAAGTAGCGCTAGAAATTGTATCTGGGAAGGAGCCAGATGGTCTGCCTGTTTCTGAATCTGCAGTGCTGTACGTTAGCTTATCTGCCCCCTGTACATTATTACCCCCCCCCACTCCCACCAAGTAACTGCTGCAACAAAAAGATGTCTTTCTTGTGTGTGCACAACTATGAAGCGTGAGCGCCCACGCCAAATCCAGTCCCGAGAGGGTTAAATAGCGTCGTGGAGGAAAAGGCACAGTGTCACATATTATGTGTATGTAACGGGGTAATCGCTCATCACATACACTGCGAGAGTGAGCCCACTACATATCACCATAAGCACAAATACTCATAACCTAGGGGAGACCGAGAACCGCTGCCCACCGAGAACTGACATAGAAACAGCCACCAAAAAAATAGCTAAGCCAATGACAAATAGCGACCCGGGTGACAGAGACGGAGAATTTAGTAGGCGGAGAAGAGATGGTGAATGGCCACTTCTAATCACAGTATTAGGCTACGCTGCCTATGGGAACGATATTTACTCATTTTGCGGGGATGGAGGAAGAGAAGGCGAAAAGCACCTACAAATAACTGGTACAATTCAAACGGCCCCAAATTACGTTTTCTCTTTGAGCTCGGGAAGGAAACTCGCGTGTTAATGTTCAAAACAATTAGCCCTGGGTAATATACGACTAAAAGCGCGTTGGTCCTTCGTTATGAGCCAAAGGGACGGAGATGATAAATGCGATAGCGTGCGGCAGCACAACCGTCACCCAGGGCTCTGCTAAAGGCGGCTTCGAGATCGTGACACGGGAAATTACGATCTTAAAAAGTGCGAGGCTGAGCGAGCTCCGAGACAGAGGAGTCAACCTGCCTCCATCGAAAGGAGACGGGGGGGGGGGCGAAGGGGGCCGAGGGAAAAGAGGGGCTATTCGGGGGGCCCTAATCCGGGTTACAAACCCTGGGGGGCGGGAGGCTGAGAGAGGGGAGCCCTGCTGGCTGCTGCAGAACAGTGGAACCAGCAATCGCTGTATCCCGAGCACTCTCCGGGCTGCCCCGCAATGCCCACGGCCACGGGGAACACAGCCTGTCACGTCACGTCACGGCAGAGGGGCGCCCACAGGGGGCTGGGAAGGCGCCCTCCGCTCGGGGTGCTCCGGGTCCCCAGCCTGCCTCTAACTTCCCTGCCCATCTCTGCTTGGGGCTGAGCCGCTCCCAAAGGCGGGGGGAGGGGGGCACGAGCGCTATCGCAGACAGGGTCTCTGCCCGGGAGATGCTCCCTTCAGCCGCCCTGGGGCGGGGGTTACCTGAGAGAGGCGGGCGCTCCGGGCCCCGATCCTCCCAGGCTGGAGACTGACAGTGACAGATACGCTGAGGTGCCGCCGCTACCGCCGCCCTGCTCACCCCACTGCTGCCTCCGGGGCCGGGATCCCCACCGCTCGCTCCCCGACAGGGTTTCGGGTGAATTTTTCCCGGAGGCGGGACACGGGTCGACACCGTTAACCGGACAACACCCTCCCCCCGCGGCCGCGCCCTCCGGCTCTTACCGCCTGTGCAGGCGCCTCCTCGGGCCGCGGGTATTTTTGGCGGCGGTCTGCGCCCAGCCCAGCGGCCCCGCCAGCTCCGGCTCCCCCGCGGCAGCGATGCGATCGGGCATCACTCGAAAATGGCGCCGAAAGCGCAGGGCTCTTCATTCAAATTCGTTAGAGCCAGCCCCGCTGCCCCGGGGCATGCCGGGAACGGGGGGGGGAGGTGAGGGGGAGAGCCGCTCGCGCTGAGGCAGCGCTACGGACCCGGCGCTGCTGTCAATAGCACCCCTCCCCCTCCCCACTGGCGCGCGCTCCACCCCCTCCCCGCTAGCGCGCGCTCCCGCACTAGCAA